GGAACACAAGAGCACAGTGCAGCAAACATACATCCAATACACTAATAACAATAAAGGTCCACACTGTTCACGAACCCCGAGTCCCCAGAACCGGGTCCGTGACATAAACTGTGAACATTTAACATTAAACCTACAGTTTGTGTCAGTTGAAGGTAAAAGCACTTTATCCAATCTGAATATAGGGATTTGTTTATTTCACTAAAATTATTTTAAATGTGTTTATGTTTGCTGTTGAAGGTTACTAAAACAAGTTGAAGTCCAGCTGAAATCTGTTGGTTGAGAAGAAATAGTTTTGAGATTACTATACTATTATAAGCTGAAAATGAGATTCAGTGGATTTTAATTCATCCCCTTTGTGGCAAAGTGCTCAATAAATATAGCAAAACATAAACACAAGTTAATGGCAGCAGAAGCTACAGTGTAACAAGGTGAAGGTTTTTCCTACGTTGAAGAATTTTTGACACCCGTCAAAATAAAACCACAAGAAACAAAATTATACCTGAGTGTAAAAAATCCAAGCATTCAGCAAACGTGTTACTCAAACACCCAGCGGTTAAAGATGCAGAACATGAACTTGAATATGCCCGATTTCGAACAGTAAGCTCACAAGCCTTCGTTATGACAAGGTTAATGTTTCAGCATCTGTGTCCAAGTCCTTACTGTGCCCTCTCAGTATCAGAGAAAATAAAGACCCAACAGATTAACTTTCGTTTCTAATAAGAATGTAATTATAGCAGGAAATCCAACATGTTTATTGCTGTTAGAATCATCTGCAGCTAACGCTTAATCTTACACTTCCTCTGGGAACATTATCAATATTTTGATATTTTGATGAGCCAATTTCACGATAAAATTTTTCTATTTTACATACTTACCTGTTTTTGCTGTCACATGACTATGCAGGCATAAAATAGTGACACAAAAGTCGCACATTTGAAAAAATCGAAAGCAGCCTTTATTTATAAACCATTTTCCAGTCCACTTGTCTTCATGGTAAAAGTGGAGGTTTCTTCCTGTTAAAAGGGAGATTTTCTTTGGCGTTTATGCTCAGTGATTGCTGTAGAGCTGCATTAATGATGCTTCTTCATCCTACCATCATGAACAATCCTTCCTTCCTGAATGTAGACAGTGGCATTATTTTAGAGTCAAGCAATGCTTTATCGAGACTCCTACGGATGAAGATTAAAATGTATTTTTTTTTTCAGATGTTTCAGTTTTTTCTTTTTCAATTTGTCCCTTCAGACCTCCAACATCAGCATGTCTCTAAGGAGGAGGAGGAGGATCTCACAGACCAGCAGGTCTGTAAGCAGGATAAGAACTCCAGTCTGGACCTGGATGACTCAGAGCCTCCACAGATTAAAGAGGAAAAGGAGGAACCTTGTACCAGTCAGGAAAGGGAGCAGCTTGGACTGAAACAGGAGTCTGATAATTTTGTGGTGACCCACGAGGAAAGTGATCACAGTGAACCAGAAGCACACAGTGACCGGAAACTGTCTTGCAACTCTCCTGGACCACAGAGTCAGTGTAACACTGACACAAGTAAAAAGTCTGTAAAGTGTGACACTTGTGGAAAAACGTCTGTAAAATGTGACACTTGTGGAAAAGCTTTTCACGATAAATCCAGACTAACTAAACATTTGAAAATTCATACAGGTGAGAAGCCACATTCTTGTAGCACCTGTGGAAAAAGATTCAGTCAAATTATAAACTTGAAAACTCACATGAGAATTCACACGGGCGAGAAGCCATATTCTTGTAACACATGTGGTAACTCATTCAGTCAGAAATCAACTTTGGCACATCACATCAGAATCCACACAGGTGAGAAGCCACATTCTTGTAGCACGTGTGAGAAAACATTTACCTGGAAATCAGAACTGAAACGTCATATGAGAATTCACACAGGCGAGAAGCCGTATTCTTGTAGCACCTGTGGGAAAACATTCAGTCGAAAATCAACATTAAAAACCCACGTGAGAGTTCACACAGGTGAGAGGCCCTATTCTTGTAACACCTGTGGGAAAGAATTTACGGTTTCATCAACATTGAAAACTCATATAAGAATTCACACAGGGGAAAAGATACACTCTTGTAGCATATGTGGGAAAAGATTCATTCAGATTATCCATTTGAAAAGACATATGAAAATTCATACAGTTTAAAGGTTTTTACTTACTTACAAAATTTGGGAGAGCTTTAGTTGTAATAATAATGATTATTATTATTATTATTATCTCCACAGTAATAATCTAATAATTGTTAATTATATTTATTCCTTAGTCATTTTCTGAACAGGTTTAAAAGCTGCTAGAAAGTAAGACAAGACCAAAAATATTATATCATTATGGATTCAAGGTCACTTCATGTGTTGTGGTGTTGACTTTCTTGAGGCGCAAACTTCAGCATGTGCCTGTCCTCTTGAACTGTATTTACAACTGTTGTTGTTTTGTTTTTTTTAACTTAAGTATTTCAATTAATTAATTCATTGAAAATTTTAAGGTGTAATCTCTGAAATATCAGAGCGCTCTGTCTTGTTTCACACTTTTTTTTCTCATATTGTTTTACATAAATTCAGAAAATGTTTTTTTCACTACTTGAACTTGCCTCACTCTGTTTTATAAGCCTACTTTAATCAATGATGCACACATATGATATTTATGTGCTATAACTGCTGGTTTACAGTGGAAATTGCATGTAAATGTGACAGTAAATAACTTTTAATACGTTAGTCTCATCAATGCTTTTGACCCTAAATCAGACATTTTAAAATGGAAGTCTAACAAATACGTACAAAATAGATCAGTGAGGGGACAATTATTTTATTTTACAGCACTGTTGATTTTGTATTTTCCATCAGACTGGTCAGTGGGCAGTGATTTCAGGTTACTTTTACAGCATGTGTTACCATGGTGATATACCTCAATAAGATGTAAACCGCCTTTCTAGTACAAAAAACCCATACTGAGACTAGGTTAACCTAACCTGAATATGATAACCCTGCTTTGTAGTACAAAGGGATGTACCATGGATGGAGATTAAAAGGTTAGATTGTGTCAGTGGCTCTCTTTTTTCCCTTGCTAAATCACCAAGGTAACTGATTCTGAACACAAACCCTGCTCAGTAGCAGGTTATGTTCTGAGGTTTGATTTAAAAATCAGCTGGAAGTGCCACACTTTCACTGACTTTTTACGTAGAGTATGTTTTTAGTACAATGTATATTGAAATGTATTATCTGTGGGCTAGATCATCAGATTTACCAAAAGTCTTATCTTTTTTGCAACACTGTTGCATTTTACTGACAAACTCATTTGTACTTTATAGATTTTTACGGCCTTTTATCATTATTATCTGATTGGAGAAGGCTGCACTCATATAGGAATCACTTTGTATGGAAAAAGAGTCATATGATGTATCCCCATTTATGTGAGTGTGTGCAAAGCTAGCTGTGGTCTATTCCCCACTTGAATCTCCTCATACAGTCCTGATCAAAAGTTTAAGACCACTTGAAAAATGGCAAAAAAAAATTATATTTTGCATGGTTGGATCTTAACAAGGTTCCAAATAGAGCTTCAACTTGCAACAAGAAGAAATGGGAGTGAGACAAAACATTTTGAGCATGCAATTTATTGAAAACCCCATTTAAACTGAAACAGGCTGTATTACAGTTTATCAAAGGTTTAGGACCACACCTCCAAAAAAATCTGTAACCCCCCCCCAAAAGCAAAAATCAAAGTTCCAAACATAAACTTGGTAATGGGTAGCTCCACCATTATGTCGTTGATACTTCAAATATTTGTTTGATGCAAGCACTTCCATGAGGTGAGTGGGAACATTTTTCCAAGTGATGAAGACGGCCACATGAAGGACATCTGCTATCTGGAACTGTTGTCCATTTTTGTAAACTTCCCTTGCCATCCATCCCCATAGGTTCTCAATTGGATTTAAATCAGGGGAATGGGCCAAAAAGAGTGGAAGAAGTCCCTTGTCCTGCGGGCACTGTGTACTGTAGCGCTATCCTGTTGAAAAACCCAGTCGTTACCACGCAGATGAGGGCCCTCAGTCATGCTCTCTGCAACATCTGGACATAGCCAGCCATGCACCTCCTGTGGCACATAGGAAAGGTGGGATCTGCCTGTCATGCCAGTAATGTTGGAAACCATCAGGACCATCAAGGTTAAATATTTTTCATCAGACAATAAAATCACCTTTCAATGTCCCATGTTTGGTGCTCTCTTGCAAAGTCCAAACGGACAGTTCTGTGGCATTCAAGGAGACGAGGCCTTTGAAGACTTTTTTTTTGTTTTTGAAGCCCTGCGGTCTCAGATGCTATCTGATGGTTATGGGGCTGCAGTCAGCACCAGTAACGGCCTTAATTTAGGTTGAGGTTCGTCTAGTTTCTTGACAGACAGCCAATTGGATCCTCCAGCTGTGGTTAAACTGAAGGTGATATTAGTCTCATTCTATGTCCTGTATATGTTATATACAAGGTGAAGTGCTGCATGAATTGCAACAATAAACTTTCTGTTTCTGTGGAACACAGTTTTGGGCTTTCTATATTCTCATAGATACAACTTCAATGAGAAATAGAGGGCAGCAAAAGACTAGTGTGGGATCCAGTCTGTGTAACTGAAGAAAAGAAGTGTAAAAGTCAGTTTGTGTGCTGAGTTTTATTTTATCGTCAAGTTTTTTTATTTTTCCTTTGTTTGTTTTTATCACTATCAGTAATTTCTCTGTTCATTTTTGTTATCTGAATTATTGTAGAGAACAGAATTACTAATTTAGCAGATTTACATGATGAACTGAAAAGCATGACATTATATTTCTATGGGTTTTGAACAGAAAATGGGTAAACACATAGGAATCATTTAGTGCTTCTCTTCCTGGAATAAAGTCTGATAACCCTCAATCTTCTTCCTACTGTGAGGCAGAGAGAGCTGGAGGTGAGTCA